TATATAAATATATACTGTATATACACATATTTTAGATATTAGAGGTTCACCTACCGTTCAGCTGTAAAGTGTATGCAGTGGGTGTCAGCGTCATAGACTATGGCCCACCGCCCTCATCGGTAACCGCTGTATTTTCCACTTGAGCATAAACTGTTTACTCCAGAGACCAATCAATAAACTACTCAGGGTGACTCACAAGAGGAGCGCTAACGCATCTCGGAGCACTTTGTGCACATTAGCCGTAATAGGACTCGTCCTCTCCCTGAGCCCTCCCTGAGCAATCTTCGGATATTCTGAGCTCTCGAGTACCTTCGCAGCCATGGCTGAAGTGTGCACACTCGTGTCCCTGAGCAGAGCGGGCCAGAGATCAATGGACAGTCACCACTGACACTTGTGCTCATTTCAGAAAGCAGCTGAGGTGGGAAGGACCAGAAGAACGGCCACTTAGCTCCAAAGCTAGGAGTAGTTAGTCACAAGCCAACAACTTGTTCTGTAATGCTGAAGACTTTCTGTAGCTTCTCCAAGACATGTCTTCAGTTCTAATGAGTGTCACCAGTTTCAGGGCATACACCCCAAAATGATTGCCAACATTTCTTATTTATCCAGGTCATGGTATATCTGGCAGTAGTTAGTTGCGTCCAACTGGACTTGTTCTCCGATGCTGAAGACCTTTTGTAGCTTCTCCAACCCACTTTTTCAGTTGCAGTGAATGTTAGGATCATATTCCAGCATTTATATCCACACACATAACCCCGACACCTCAATACAATCAACATGGAAGGTATCAAAACAGATGCGGATTGTTCAAGAACGGGATGGGAGGTGTAAACGTTGTGGAATCGCCATGTTCTAGTTCCATAACCCCATCCTTGGTATCAGAAGGTCACCAAGAATGACTTGCTGGTGCCGAACAAAGTTCAGATTGAATCCTACTTCAATCCGAAGCTGAACCTCAACCCTAGATCCCTTTGGAAGCAGAACTGTCCACACTACATACAGTACTTCCAGATGGACCCACAGGTTTCTGGATGGAATTCCATTGTGCACACGGATCAACCCACAAGCTTCCAGGTGAACTTGTACTCTACACACCTCTGGATGGACCCACAAGCTTCCAGATGGACTTCCATTCTACACACTTCCGGATGGACCTACAAGCTTCCAGGCGGACTTCTATTCTATACACTTCCGGATGGACCTACAAGCTTCCAGATGGACTTCCACTCTACACACTTCTGGACAAACCCACAAGCTTACAAAGTAGACTTCCACTCTACTCACTTCCAGATGGATCCACAAGCTTCCAAAGTGGACTTCCACTCTACACACTTCCAGATGGACCTATAAGCCTTCAGAGGGACTTCCATTCTACACACTTCTGGATGTACCTGTAAGCTTCCAAGTGGCCTTCCATTCTACACAGTTCCTGATGGACCTACAAGCTTCCAAATGGACTTCCACTCTACACACTTCCGAATAAAACTACAAGCTTCCAGATGGACTTCCACTCTACAGATTTCTGGATAGATCCACAAGCTTCCAGATGGACTTCCACTTTACACACTTCTGAATGCACCTACAAGCTTCCGGATTTACTTCCCCTCTACACTTCCAGATGGACCCACAAGTCCCCATTAGAAGATGACCCCTCTGTTTCTGTTCCGGTGATGACTCAACATTCTTTGAATTTCCTATCACTTTCATTTCTGATGATAGTAGTCACCAAGACAAATAGAGAGGGTGAATCTTCCCGGCGGGGGCATCAATAAAAACTTGACCATTTGCTTACTCCATCCACAAGATATACTTTAAGATAAATGATGTAAAATGAATACAAAATCCGAGCTCACTGATAACACACTCATTTTCTTTAAATGGATCTAAAAATCAGCAGACAGGCAGGATACAGGCAGGGTATATCCTGACATTTACTTAACATTCACTACAGGCAGTGACTCCTGTCCTGGGCCCTACATGCTTCAGGCTGCTCCACTCACCTGGTTCCAGCGTGAAGTATCATCCAGCCGGGCAGCAGGCAATGAGTGGGAGCAGTGTTATCCCCGCCCTCTCATCACACAGAACTGCTGCCCAGTGCCGAATAGAGCTGCTGCGGACACGAAGGGGGAGACAGGGAGCTGGAAGTATGAAGGTGACATGGGGTCTGGGAGCGGAAAGCTGGGGACATGAAGGGGGAGATAATGGGGGCTGGGGACGTGAAGGGGGAGATAATGGGGATCTGGGGACATGAAGGGGGAGATAATGAGGAGCTGGGGACATGAAGGGGGAGATACTGGGAAGCTGGGGACATGAAGTGGCAGATAATGGGGAGCTGGGGACAGGAAGGGGGAGATACTGGGGAGCTGGGGGACATGAAGTGGGACATAATGGGGAGCAGGGGACATGAAGGGGGAGATACTGGGAAGCTGGGGACATGAAGTGGCAGATAATGGGGAGCTGGGGACAGGAAGGGGGAGATACTGGGGAGCTGGGGGACATGAAGTGGGACATAATGGGGAGCAGGGGACATGAAGGGGGAGATACTGGGAAGCTGGGGACATGAAGTGGCAGATAATGGGGAGCTGGGGACAGGAAGGGGGAGATACTGGGGAGCTGGGGGACATGAAGTGGGACATAATGGGGAGCAGGGGACATGAAGGGGGAGATACTGGGAAGCTGGGGACATGAAGTGGCAGATAATGGGGAGCTGGGGACAGGAAGGGGGAGATACTGGGGAGCTGGGGGACATGAAGTGGGACATAATGGGGAGCAGGGGACATGAAGGGGGAGATACTGGGAAGCTGGGGACATGAAGTGGCAGATAATGGGGAGCTGGGGACAGGAAGGGGGAGATACTGGGGAGCTGGGGGACATGAAGTGGGACATAATGGGGAGCAGGGGACATGAAGGGGGAGATACTGGGAAGCTGGGGACATGAAGTGGCAGATAATGGGGAGCTGGGGACAGGAAGGGGGAGATACTGGGGAGCTGGGGGACATGAAGTGGGACATAATGGGGAGCAGGGGACATGAAGGGGGAGATACTGGGAAGCTGGGGACATGAAGTGGCAGATAATGGGGAGCTGGGGACAGGAAGGGGGAGATACTGGGGAGCTGGGGGACATGAAGTGGGACATAATGGGGAGCAGGGGACATGAAGGGGGAGATACTGGGAAGCTGGGGACATGAAGTGGCAGATAATGGGGAGCTGGGGACAGGAAGGGGGAGATACTGGGGAGCTGGGGGACATGAAGTGGGACATAATGGGGAGCAGGGGACATGAAGGGGGAGATACTGGGAAGCTGGGGACATGAAGTGGCAGATAATGGGGAGCTGGGGACAGGAAGGGGGAGATACTGGGGAGCTGGGGGACATGAAGTGGGACATAATGGGGAGCAGGGGACATGAAGGGGGAGATACTGGGAAGCTGGGGACATGAAGTGGCAGATAATGGGGAGCTGGGGACAGGAAGGGGGAGATACTGGGGAGCTGGGGGACATGAAGTGGGACATAATGGGGAGCAGGGGACATGAAGGGGGAGATACTGGGAAGCTGGGGACATGAAGTGGCAGATAATGGGGAGCTGGGGACAGGAAGGGGGAGATACTGGGGAGCTGGGGGACATGAAGTGGGACATAATGGGGAGCAGGGGACATGAAGGGGGAGATACTGGGAAGCTGGGGACATGAAGTGGCAGATAATGGGGAGCTGGGGACAGGAAGGGGGAGATAATGGGGAGCTGGGGACAGGAAGGGGGAGATAATGGGGAGCTGGGGACATGAAAGGGGAGATAATGGGGAGCTGGGGACATGATGGGGCATAATGTTAACGCATGTGCATTACCGCAACACACCTCCATAGTTGGGTGTGAACCTAGCCCAGAAGCACGGGCGAAACTACAACTTGTCGATGGGTAAACGATCATTCTGACTGCTGTGGGACATTTGCTGTGTAAGCAACCCATTGTAATCCATTCTCTTGTACGCCTTCCAGCTGCTGCACAGTGACAGTTGGTGATGGGGCTTTTGCATGAACAAGAAAGTGCATGACCACTTCGGTACTGACGCGACTCATGCACTTGTTTTACCTGGAAGAGGTCTTACCTGGAAGGAGTGCTCAGCCAGGTGAACTCCACGGATCAGACTCAATGCAGCGCACATGATGCTCAGGGTCAGGGACAGGATACCCAGAGGGCTCACGGGGGACATTCGGCAATTCACACCTGCGTACAATAGAGATTGAGTGTCATGGAGGACCTTCTGATCAGCTGGGGGTCTGGAAGACCCAACACCATCCAGGGCCAGGCCACCATCACAGCAGCCTTTGGGCTAGGCACAGGACCTTTGGTACCCAAAGCAACTCCCCCCACCCCCTCCATTAAGATCACCTCTTCTACACCTCCACTTTCCATGTGGTACGGTCTAAACCTGGACTAAGGACAAGTCCGTCTCTTGCAAAAAAAGTAGTCAATGAAGCAACGCTGATCACATGATCAATGAGCACTTACTACCTTTTTGCATAGAAGCCTGCAGAGCATTGCACCCATGATCAGTCATGCCCTATCAAAGTCTACCCCCCCCCAGCGTCTGTACCTGGGCTGGAAGACGTGCAGCTGGACTACGTGGTGGTGAAGGACGGTGGACCTCCGGGATGGCCCTGCACATGCCCCATTTGCTGCAGTGGCATGGTGGCAAATTGAATAACAGAACTGGGTGGCACGGCTTGTAGTGCGGAGCCACGGTGCTGCACTTGCAGGTCTTCTCCCTCCCCCAGCCTGTGATAGGAAAGTGAAGGGAGAACCGGCAGACTCATTAGTTCATCTCTCTGTCACTCTACCCTCTCCTCCTATCAGCATGTCCTTAAAAGGAGAACTATGAGGTGAGTGCTTTTCACTCACCTCATAGTTATCATAGTTCTCCTTTAAGGGCTTGTTTTTTTACTGCAGATGATGGTCAACCAGGACCAGTGAAGAGGGTGAATCACCCCAGAAAGCAATAAAACCCAGGCAGGGGTTCCAACCCTCTCCGAATACATTTAAAACTAAAATAAAGTTTGGGCTGTACATAGACGTTAGTAAATAGCAATAATAAACTTCCCCATACCTGCGTGCACTTGTGCAGTCACGTGCCCATTGGCGAAGCCGTTGCTCTCCCCTATATCTTCTAATTTTACATAGACAGGAGGGGAGGTGGGATCCAGGGGGTCTCGGGGGGAGCTGCCAGCAGAGTTAAAATTGTGTTTCACACGTTGTATGACGCTATCTGCAACAGACACAAGACAGACATTATATGGAAAATGTCTTACAGTCGATGTGAACCCAATCGCTAAATCCTCATAGAAGCTCCAACATGTGCATGTCATTCTTCATCTGCAACTGTTATTAAATGAATCCCTGGTGATCCTTCCAGGAAGGTCCTTGTTCAGGTGCTTCCTGTTATAGGGTGACAACGCTCCATCCCTGTCTCCTTATATCTAACCTGCGTTGTCACCTTTTTTTTTTTCCACCGCACCGGAACGCACAGTATTGTGGTACTGCATGTTGCAATGCACAGCGGCTGGGAGGTGGGTTGTAGTGCCATTCGAATGTACAATGGTGTGAATGGGCCTTTTTTTTTTTTTTTTCTCTTACTTCCTGGTAGAGTTGCCACCTGTCCAGGATTCACTCGGACAGTCCGGGTTTTGAATGCTGTGTTCGGGTTTCATGGCAGCAGAAACCCGGACACAAGATGTCAGGCAGACAGGGGCAACCAAAATTAAGATAGAGGCTACTGGCCTCCCCACTGAAAATAGTCTCAACTGCAATATTTACATATTAATGGGCGGTGCTATTTACATATAAATAAGCCGCGACTCATTCTTTCGCGTGAAGAAAAGGTGGCATCCCTAGTTCCTGGTGTGTGTCCAGGACAGCAATCGAGGGTAATTCGACAGTAATTCTCCCCAATGGGACGTAAACAGCAAATAAAAAGAAACGTTTTTGTAGACTTCAATGTGAAGCACTCACAGAGTCGGATAGAAGTGACATTTCAGGACCGATCAGCTGTTCTAGGACAGATCGGCTCTCCTGCACATTCCATCTGTGATCCCGATCTGCCCTGGAACAGCTGAGAAAGTGTTGGAATTCTTAACCTTTTGCTGGTCACATATTTTACAGCAGAAAAAGTGGGCGTGATTACGTTAAAATGTGTGACCACATGACCGGTCACAATATAGGAAAAGGAATCACCAGCACTCAGTAGAATCATCCAACATGTCCATTTATTGAACATAGACGTCACACAATCACAAGAGCCAACGTTATGCGTGACCACGTGACCGGTGACACATTCCACCGCTGTCACAATCTTTGATAGAACACCTGCTTGCACTACAATGGGCTGATAAGTGCAGGGGGCGTGGCTATCAGCATTGTCCCTGCTGATTCACCAGCCTGTAGCCTGTCAATCAGCACCTGGCCACACCTAGTTTTGGCTATACATACATTTAAAAATGAACTGGTTATTTTGCCCAGTATGCTAAAGCATTCGACACAGTACCCCACAAACGTTTAATCCATAAGCTAAGGCAGGGGTAGCCAAACTCCGGCCCTCCAGCTGTGTTGAAACTACAAATCCCATGATGCATCTGTCTCCTGGAGTCATGTCTGTGGCTGTGAGAATCTTGCAATGCCTCATGGGATTTGTAGTTCCACCATAGCTGGAGGACTGGAGTTTGGCTACCCCTGAGCTAAGGTCTATAGATCTAGGTGAAATTGTATGTACATGGGTGGAAAATTGGCTGCAGGAACGGACCCAGAGGGTAGTGATAAATGGGTAATTCGCTAATTGGGCAAGGGTTAGGAGTGGAGTGCCCCAGGCTACAGTCCTGGGACTGATCCTTATTCATCCACGACATAGAGATTTAACTAAATAGCTCAATTTCGTGTTCTTTTGGGGGGATAATACTAAACTCTGCAGAGCACTACATTCCGAACAGGGATATTCGCACAACAACAGGACCTCAGCAAATTTGAGGCACGGGCTACAAGATGGCAAATGCGATTTAATGTTGAAAAAATTTAAAGGTTATGCACATGGGAGTAAAGAACATGTGCACAAACTACTACTTGGGGGGGTGATACTTTAGGGAAGTCAGACAGAGAAAAAGACCTGGGGGCAGGGCCGGATTTCCCACAAGGTCAACCAAGGCCCAGCCTCGGGGCAGCAGGAAGTAGAGGGGCAGCAGGGGTGTGGAATTCCTATCTCCCGATGCGCAGGACATGCAGTTCCGGGTGCTGGGCGGGTAGTTGATTTCTACATTTAGCCCGGCTTTGGGCAAGCAGAGCTAAATGTACAACGGGGAAACCGCAATGTCGCCAAGATCACTTGTTTGCAGCCTGATTAGATCACATATTTGGGAGTGCTCATAGATCACATATTTGGGGGTCCTCACAGATCACAGATTTGGGCGGGGGGCTCATACATCACCGATTTGGGGGTGCTCATAGATCACAGATTTGGGGGTGCTCATAGATCACAGATTTGGGGGTGCTCATAGATCACAGATTTGGAAATAGTAAGCAATGCCACGCAGGGTCCCTTCATCAGGGCGACATATGATGAAGGGACCCTGCGTGGCCCCGAAACGTTGGCTAGATTGATATATGTGACGCTGCATCCCAATAAATGAATATAAGGATTTGATGAAAAACCTTAGTTCTGAGTGCTGGTGATCTCTCTACTACACACCCTAAATAGGGTCAGAAAGGGCCATTGTCGACATGGTTTTGTTCGTTGAACTGCTTCTGTCCACCTAGAGGTCTATGGAAATGCAGGTGAAGCAGGTCAAATGCAAATCAGAAGAAGGTCAACTGCAGGTCAGTTGAAGGTCTAATGAAGATCTGATTAAGTCTGATGAATCTCAGAAGCTCCTCAACCCAATGTCAAAGGCAAGCCAATGCCTAAAGGTCCATTTTCTCCTCCACCCTGGTGGAAACTTACAACAATGGAGTAACACTACAGCTGGATGCAATGTGGTGGTGGGAGCTGAGTCGTATCCGATAGGAAGCACTCACCAAACTCAAGGAAGGCGTAGGGCCTGGAGGCCAGGGCGATGGCTGTGCTGTTGTAGGATGCGGAGAACTCCCAGACTAGCTCTTCCAGGAAGCTGAATGCAGTGGCGGGGGGGTAAGTGCTGGAGCAAACCACCAAGGAGGAGATGTCACCTGATGAGAGAAAACTGCAAAGATACGGGACGGTTACAAATATTTCCATCTGCTCCATTTATATATGTGTGTGCCCTCCAGACCTACTTCTAACCAACCACCATATGTCATGTATACCTTATAGACAAGGCAATAAGTTATAGTACATGGAAACCCAACCACTAAATTCCCATACGAGCTTTGCAGGTTAATGTCATTTCTAACTGATGCGTCCATTAAAATGATCCCTGGTGATCCTGCCATGAAGGTCTTTGTTCTTTAGGCCCTTCCTGTTGTGGGGTGACAGCGCTTTGGCCAAGTCTACCAATGTCACATGGGCTTCCAATGAGACTACTAGAGATGAGCAAATCTGCCCGGGTTCAATTCGCAGAGGGTTCGGCCAATTCCATTGGAAACTCACTACGCCTGTCACCAGAGCCAAGCCCCCCTCCCCACCCCGCTCAGCCACCTGCCAGCTCTCTCCTCTCCACTGGGTGCCGACAGCTGGATCGGCTCTGTGTCTCCTCAGATCCCCGCTGCCTCTGCTGTCACATGTTGGGGGAGAGCAGTCGAGATAGCAGGGGACACAGACCAAAGCTTGCAGCTGGCGCCCAGTGGGGAGAAGGGAAGCTGGGGATGCACCTCATTTTCGTAATTTCGCCTATAGTACAATTTTCGGCCGAAATTTCGGTGCATGATTAGTAATTCTGCCTTTAGGTCACAGTGTTGGTCTATGATATAATGTTCTTCCCAGTGGAACTTCATAGTTATGATGTAATTTCCTGCCTTTGTATTACAGTTGTTTCCAGTAAAACAAGAAGGGCTCAGCCATGTGTTCAGCACCATCTTGACCTGAAGAGTCATATCTGCAGCATCATCTCATATGACAAGCTGAACTTACTGTATGTGGAAGTTGCAGACGTTGGTGGTGCCTCTGGACGGGCGCTGGGACAGGGTGACAGAAAGCCTCTTCACCCACCTCTTGCACTCCAGAATCTGCATGTTCGGGTGGAAATCGGTGGAGGCAGAGAGCGGGAGGCCATCTTGAAGCCTCACAAGGCAGGCGTAGAGGATCATGGGAATTCACCTCCGTCCCAAACATGAAGTCAGCATCTGAAAATAAGTGGGAGGAATGGTCATGAGGGTCATACTTTGTCACCGGATATAAATCTGAATACGTTTGAGGCTAGGAGCATAATTCTAAGAGTGGCCCCGTCCCTTCTAATCTGGTGGCATCTCTTGGCTCAGCATAAAAGTGCCAGGAAAGGGCCAACATCTTGCCCCATGTCCTGCCAATGCTGGCTCCCGGGATCACAGCATCAACCTTATTTGAGTCATTTAAAAAAACATTGGGGATCAGGGTCACAGGTAAGCAATTCTAGAATTAGGCAGGGTAGGGGCAGGACCAGCCCTTGAAATGGGCATGATTTGGGCATGCCCACCTGGAAAGTGGACAGGCAAAATGCAGACTGTGGGCAGGGTTAACAGTTCTGGGATGCAGCACCCTTGTTGGTACATATGTCAGCATTGTACAATATACAACAACAGAAACTTGGAACTCACCCATATTCAGGGCTGTCCCTATAATGAGGCAGTCGCCTCAGGCTGTATCTCATTAGGGGGGTGGCAGGTGGGGGGGGCGCGCAAGAGGGGCAGCCACAGCATCCACGGTTGCTAAGAGCTCTTAGCAACCTGTGGCACTCTGTCTGGCTTACTGCCCAGCACACACTGACCTCATCAGTTGCCAGGGAGCTGAGCAGGACCCTCGGGCTGGCGTTCCGGCAAGCTCCTGGCAACCAGTGATGTTGGTGAGCTGGGTGGGACTGGACAGAGGGGTGGGACTGGACAGAGTGCCACTCACAGCCACTCACAGCAAGGCTCTGTACAGCCATTTCCATCCTTCCCACCACATCTGCCGCAAAGCACCCAAAAAACACTATCAGCAGCACACGCCGCCCAAACTCCCCCACCCCCCAAGCACTATAAGGAGTGTATGCCAAGCCTCAAACCCAAAACCTGCCCCCCTTCCTATATGGTAGGGACGGCCCTGCCCATATTGGAAAATAAAGCCTCTCCAAGGGTACCGAAAAAGCAGGCACACCCCTTCCCCCCTCTACAATGCAGTGTTTAGTGCTAGAATGACCTCTTGTCAGGCTAAAGGTGGTGTGTTTAAGGTCTATACAAATAAAGACTTTCAGAAAGTCAATATCTGCACAGAGTCTACAGTGAGAGAGGTGATGAGGCAATGCTATGCGTCTGCTATACAGCAGTTTAAATTCTTTGTATATCCAGTACAGGCCCCCCTTATGTGGGTTTAAAATTCACTTCACCTGAGGCACCCAGGCCAGATAAGGGTCCCGAGTCTTCCCGAAAGAAGGGATCTTCACCTGACTTCAGCTCGTCTCGCACAGTTGGGTCAGGACATAGAAGGGGGTGGGTTAATCAGCTTTTTTCTTCTAGATATAAAGCTTAAGTGGGAACAAAAAAGAAGAAATGATTACAACAACGGCCATTGTAGGTCCATAAAATGATTGTGTGGGGTCAGCCCAGTTTTTAAGGTTGTAGGAACAAATGGCAAATAGAAGCAGATGCAATGAGGACTTCTGTTATAGGCCAATTACACCCCTCCCCCCTCCTCCCATACATCTATTTCTTCCTTATACATCTCTTTTTTTGTTCTAGGGTCCTCTTCTGTTCTTGGTAGCTGGCTCCCTGAATGCTGCAGAGAACGGCACTCATGTCATGATGTAGGTTCAGTTCTCTGCAGCGTTCTCCTGTGAGTCCAGGATGGTTTTGTGTTGTACCCCCAGGGGGTGTGTCCATGACTTCCTGGGCTCAGGGCCCGGTGCAAGGATCTTTGCCTACACAGAAGAAGGTGGATTTTTGCGCCCCCACGGCGACCTCAGTTGGCTGCCTATAGATCCTTACGTTAACACTAGCCCTGACCACATTGCTAGGGTGTAACATGGTCAAATTGTAACCCCCCCCTTACCTAAATCAAAGGGTTCTTCTCCCCACAGGCTGCCGTTTTATATTTTAAGTTGCATGGCTGTGTTGGTGACCAACACAGCCACGTCAGCCATCGTTATTAATTTTTTTTAAACTTTTTTTTTGTATTTTTTATTTTAGTTTATTTAAAGGAGAGCTATGAGGCGAGTGAAAATCATTCACTCAACCTCATAGTTCTAGCCGACCTGTGACAATGAAACTGTCACAGGTCGACTCAATAGATCGGGAAGTGAGCGAACACATACCGTCGCTCGCTCACTTCTTGATCTATCCCTGCAGAGAGTGGTGATTGTCACTCACGGCTCCCTGTAGGGATTCCACTGTCCGATCCTCCAGCGCTGACTGGCGGAATGGACGGGGGAGGGGGCGGGTACAGCTGGCTCTGGCTCTAGATAGGCAGAGCCAGCTGTCACTCACGCAGCCGGGTGGATCCAGACAGTAATGTTGGGATCCGGCTGCGGCGTCTCAGTATACCGCGAGCTGTAGCTCTCTATATACTGAGCTTAGGGTGACGGGAGGACGCTAGTTTGTGTCCCCTGTTACCATTAGGAGAACTGTCGGTAAAAGCCCTGACCCCATAGTTCTCCTTTAACTTAATTTTTTTATTTTTTAGTTTAGTTTATTTAACTTTTCTTTTAAGTTCTCAATCAGGTCCACTACTGATGATTGGCAGAAGGTGGTGGACGGGTGCAATAGCCAGCCTGCTATTAGATATTGCC